TTTAGGTTATTTCTGTGCTGCCTCTTCAAAGTCTTGCTTATTTATACTGTTACTTATACTCTTTCTGTGAACTCCATTGACTGAAAACACAATACTAATTGTCTCATTTCCTTTTTTGACTTTAAGCACAGTCCTTTTAAAGTTGTTTGAAATGCTTTTGTTTAAAAAGAATGGTGTTCAGTAATGCCAGAAGATTTTGAGATCCTGAAATGAAATTATTTATAGAACTGCCTTTCAAAATGCTTGTCACAGACCAGGGGTGTGACATGACTTCAGCAGCTTAGCAAAAAGAAAAACAGTACCTGGCAATAATGCATAGAAAAATAGGATACAGATTCACAAGTGCCAAAACTGTGATTGTTCTTTGTTTTAAAAAAGATAAAGTTGTCACAGATCTGTTGCTCACTCTGTCATCTGAAAGCCATGTCTCTTTTAACACTGCTAGGGTGCATTCAGTTGGTGCAGTGATTTGTCTTTTTCATTCTGATATTGAAAGGGACTCTGGCATGCCAACTAGTTTAAGCATACAAGTGTTAAAGAGACAAGTGACATTTATTGGCATTTTACAAATCTTATCTTTTAGCAGCATCACTTAGGAATTGCTTGCTTCCTCTTTAGATATCCAAAAATTATGTGTATACTGAATCAGGGGTCATTTCGTAGAAAAAGAGCTAGGGGGACTCATTAGCATAACTCATTAGCATATGCCACACCCCCTGACATCACCGGATGTGTGTCCTCCCCACAGCCGGCGGCGACCTCCAGCGGGCACCAGCAGGGAGCTCCAGGCCCCACCCTCCCGCACCTCACCCGGGGGGATGGCGTCCCCCCCCGGTCCCCCCCAAATGACCCCTGTACTGAATCCTATTGGCTATCTGAGGCTCCGGTCACACAGGCCGGAAAATGTGGGGGGGGTGTAGCGTGGCTGTTTGCTCTGGGGCAAAATAATGCGCGGTTGTGCGATCAGACATCCCGTGGAGGTCCCGTGGTTAGGGGGGAGGTGCCGATCACAGGACAATCCTGCGGCGCGGCAAAGAAGCGGGGCAGCGGGGCAAATGGGGTTGTGTTTTTTTTTAAAAAAAACCCCTGAAGTGTGCGCATGCTCCATTGTGTGCTTGTGCGCATCTGTGGAGACTTGGGGGGGAAAAACACCTTTTTGTGAGGGGACATGGGCGGGTGCCGGAACTACCACCGGAAACGCGATCAGACGCCCGCCCTTGCCCCGTGGTTTCAGGAAACTAGTACCTTGGAGGTACTGTTTTTTTACCTCCTCGCATCTTCGGCGGGAAGCCTCGGGTTCGCCACGGGAACTCTACGCTTTCCAGATCTGGCGGTTTGATCACGCCCGGAAAATCCGCCTATCTTCCGTCTCTGCAGTGTGGCTAATGCTCCGTGTGACCGCAGCCATAATCCACTAATATCCTTGGTACCATCTAGTTAAGGCAGTTAACAACATAGGTTAAGTGGGTCTGGATCTGTTCAATGCCTGGATGGGTGGTGCTTCAAAGTCCTGCATATGCTGCTGCATTGATCCATTCTGCATTGATCCATTCTGCATTGATCCATTGATCCTCGATCCATTCCAGTCTGGCTTTCGCCCGAGATATGGGACGGAGACTGTGCTGGTTGCCCTGACTGACGACCTCCGACGGCATCTGGATCAAGGCGGTGTGGCAGCGCTGTTGCTGTTAGATCTGTCGGCCGCATTTGATACGGTCGACCACCAGCTGCTGGTCCACCGCCTTGCCGACGTGGGGATTCAGGGGCTCGCCCTCCAATGGCTTGTCTCTTTTCTCCAAGGTCGGGGACAGAGGGTTGTGCTAGGGGAGCAGCAGTCCCGGAGGCACCTGCTTGAATGTGGAGTGCCTCAAGGGGAACGGCGATCCCCCGCGATTCCCCAAATTGACCTCTGCTTGTGGGATCCCACTACTTACTTTTCTCCAGTGTGAGAACTGTCAGTTTATTCCTAGTTTCTGCTATTTACTACATTTTTAATATGTAAGAGGAGCCATTGTATCCATGATTGCGAAGTTCACTCAAGGGTCTTTGGTGCAGTACCTTGTCAAAAGCCTTTTGGAAGTCTAATTATATAATATCTACTGGATCACCCTTATACACATGCTTGTTAACCCTGGGGTGTCAAACTCATTTGTTATGAGGGCCAGATGTGACATAAATGAGACCTTGTTGGGCCGAGCCAGGTGTGTCACAAAATGTAATGCCAGGTAGCAGAGATATAAACTTTATAACGGACACGAACACAAAGATTCTTTTTTCCTTAAAATAAAAGCATGCTTAAAACATCAGCACTCTTGCAATATTTTGTTTATTTAACAGTGTCTGATGACTGATACCTCTTGCTCTGAATTACTGCATCAAAATGACTGTGCTGTTGCAATCTTGAGTGTGCTATTCAAGTGTGTATCTGTAAGTTGCAACCGTAGTTTGACATTCATTACAGAAATGTTATGCTCAGAGTTCTGAGCCTAGGTCCCAGGGGAAAACATGAAATGGCTGGGCATTGTGAGCTTTTGTACATAAATTGCTTCATGTGCTGGTCAAGAACATGAGAAGGCACCATCAGAGAAAGCGTTTGACAACGTTACTTGGCCATTTATTATAGAGACATTGAGAATGGTGGAAGCAGGTGAAAACTTTATTAAGATGATTCAAGCTATATATAATGAACAAAGAGCAAGAGTAATGGTGAATGGCGAATTGACAAATAATGTTAAGATTCAAAAGGGGACTAGACAAGGCTGCCCTTTATCGCCTCTTATATTTATCCTAGCCTTAGAGGTATTAAACAATGTAATAAGAAGGGATAAAGATATTATTAATAATAGTAATAGTAACAACAACAACCAACCACCACCAACAACAACACCACCACCACCAACAACAACAACAACACTACCACCACCACCACCAACAACAACAACACTACCACCACTACCAACAACAACAACAACAACAACAACAACAACACCAACCACCACCACCACCACCACCACCACCACCACCAACCAACACCACCACCAACCACAACCCCACCCCCAACAACAACAACCACCACCACCACCAACAACAACACCACCACCACCAACAACAACACCACCAACCACCACCAACACCACCACCAACACCACCTTATACCCTGTTCGAACCCTGAGAGGTCTCTGAGCGGCTTACATATTTCATTATCCCTATCTATGGGCACACACATAGTCAGGGGTGGGGGTTGTCTACCGGCACCCAGTGGTGGGATTCACTTGTTCCTTCAGCTCTTCTCGGCTCGGCTTCGGCTCGGCTTCTCTCGTCTACTTCTTCAGGTGGTCTTCGGAGTCGGCTTTTCCCGGCGGGCCCATCTGTCGCGCAGATCGCGTCGGCGTGGCTCTGGCTCTGTCCATTAGGCTCCACCGCGCCTGCGCCTCTGTGTCCTCGCGCCTTCTGGCTCCGCCTCCGCCATTGCCCGGTCCACTGCTGATGTTGCACCTCCTTGCCGCCATCACTCATCGCTCCGCCGCCGCTGCTCGCTGCTCCACCGCTGTTAGTGTTCCCACTGCACCTCACAATGGAGGAGGGTGCCCCCTGCCATCTAAGGCAGGTACCCATTCATCTACTCGCTTGCTGTTATTGCTTTCGAACCGCTGGGTAGGCAGAAGTTGGGACTAGGGCCGGGTGCTCAGAATAAAATTTATAGAAATTCTTTAAATATGGTAATAGAGTTATAAGAAAATATACTGATCTCTTTGTATGTTTTATGTGTGTAAATGGATGTTTGTTATGTAGTATGTTTGTTTGTTGGTGTATAATATGAAAAATAATAAAAATGTACCTTATGGGTACTTAAAAAAAAAAGAACATGAGAAGGCACCATGACACAGACTGAGAGCTATGTGTTTTTCTACAAAACTATAGTCTTCCTCAGTGGTCAGTATCAGCCTACTATCTGGGAAGTCTAAATTCAAAATCCCCAAAGGAAATGTGCTGGGTAAACCTGGTCTGAACACATACTCTCAGCCTGATCCACCTCACTGACTTGTTATTCCTCATCTAAATCATTCACATTGCTTTCCTACTGAGAAAGACTGGATCATGAGGGTGTGAATACAGTGAAAATGGGGAGGGAACCCAGTTGCACCCAGGAGAGCCACAGCATAACAACCCCAACAAAACACACACTATAGCAAGGCACACAAATGCTCATACCTTGGATAAAACTTTGTTGGTCTTAAAGGTGCTTTGTATTTCTCCTATGTGATTGAGGCAGCCAAGCAAAGAAAGCTCTCCTTCCTTCCCTTTGGGGAGGAGTCTTAGTCAATGGAAGGAAAGAAAGGCTTGCCTTTCTCTCCTGTGTGATTGTGGCAGCCTGGCCAGGAAGCAAGCTCTGGCTTGTTCCCTCCCTCCCTATGGGAGGGGGAGGAGCCTCAGCATGTGCAGGGAATAGAAGCTTGTCTACCTGTTCCTCCCAAGTGATTGCGAGAGTCTGGCAAAGCAAACTACGATGACGCAGCAGCAGCAGAACTGGAAGAAGCAGGAGACAGCCAATTCCACTGTGGGCCTGACAGAAGCCCTCTGGGGGCCTGACTTGGCCCCCGGGCCGCATGTTTGACAACCCTGGGTTAGCATGTCCTCCTTCCTATGTCTAAAAAGTTACACTTCTCTTTAGAGAAAAGTTAAAAGAGAGAGAGCTGGTAGAAGGAGGGAAACAAAAGGTGTCCACTTAATGCTTTTGCTCCCTGAGCTGTTGACCTACTGCCGAGATCGCTGTCTGAAAAGCAGGACTTCACTGAAGAAGACACAGAAGGCAACATTCACTATGCATATTTTTGAACTACCAGGAAAAAATATGCTTTCTCCTTTTTTGTTTTGTGAGGTACACTTTTTGGTACGGTTATTCCAGAGTTACTTTAGGAAGAAATAACTCATGGCACATTAAAAGTAAATGATCTGTTTTGTAACAGCAGAAATATTTTGTTTTGTCTCTTTACATGCAGCTTTTGCGAGAACTGAAGCACCCTAATGTGATTGCATTACAGAAGGTGTTCCTGTCTCACAGTGATAGAAAGGTGTGGCTGCTGTTTGATTATGCTGAACATGATCTGTGGGTAAGTTAAGAATTTTCTGGTGGTTTGATTGTTTTGCATGTATGTTTTTACTAGGGCTAGTGTCAGCATACTCTGAGGTGGGGCAGCTGTCTAGGGCCTTGGATTCTGGCAAGACCCACTGCTGCTGACTCCCTACTCGCACATTTTCTCTGAAGCCTGTACTCATGCCCTTCCACTGCTTGTAAGTGCTTTTTGTCACCTGTGCTCCCAGTTGCATGTGCTGCTTAGCGCTGCTGGATAATGGCATGTGGGTGGTGCACAATTCATGGTGGCCATGGATGTGGCACTCCTAGCTTGCATCCACCACCCAGTATCACTGGGAGGAAAGGCATGTAGGCAGTATGGGCAGCTGTGAGTGTAGGTGGTGGGAGACCTTGAGAGTGGGCAGAGGAAGGATGCACAGGTAGGTGGAGACACATAGGTGTGTGGGCAGGAAGGGGGGTCTAGTAGTGGGCATAAGGGGGCCCCCTGAAAACTCTCTCCCCACGGCCCCACAAAATCTGGAACTGGCACTGGTCCATAGCTAGAAGCGCTTTAAAATCCTGGTTAAGTATGCAAATCCTGGTTAAGTATGCAAATTTGCACAATTTTCATGTGTCAGCATGTTACAGAAGGCACATAGGGAGATGGAAACCTGACTTAAATGCCCTAGGTAATCTTGTACTAAATGAAGCAATCCCAGATTTGGATATACATTTGGATAGAATTTTTAGGTTTATTTGGATAGAATTTTTAGTCATAAAGACCAGAAGCTTTTTCCTCTTCTTTTCTCTCCCCCCCCCCATTTTTTGTCTTTTTCAATTCAAAGTGAAGACTTTTGGGAGTCTGTTCAAACTCCTGGAATTCACTTTGGCCTATTCCATTTCACTGTGGTGCATTCAGGACTATACAATTTTTAAGCTTGTGTATGTAATGCAAATGGAGATCCCAAGTTTGATCTAGAATTAAGGGTGTGTGTGGGGGGGGCATCAAATAGCTATTTTGATCTGCTCCCTATCCAGAGTCGTCATAAAAACAAACTCTCTTGAGGATGCGGAAATATTTATTTTCCTCAATCAGAAAAAATATATAATCACATTGGAAAAACTTTTAAAAAATAGTATTCAAAACAGTAACAATTATTGTTCCCAAATATGTGCTTAATACTGCATTTGCAAAAATCAGATGACTTAGAAGGCTGTTTGTACCCTTGAGTTCTAGGGCTCTTCCATGCTTTAATTAAAAAGAAAAACCTGTTAATCTTTGATATTGTCACTTCATGGTTGAGTTGGTAGGCTTCAGTAAAGCAATGTTAGGAAAGGCATAGCTGCTGAAAGATTGCTTGCTTTTTGAAGGGGACACCAGAGCCACACCTGAGTTCATGAGACATATCTTTCAGAAACTACTTTACAATTCTTAGTTTTAAAAGCTGTATGTTGTGCAGTGTGGCAGATGGGAATGAAACTTGAAAATCAATACAAATAAGATGCTGTTCAGATATTGCTTATCTATGCCCATTATTCATGCTTTTGGTTCCTCATGTTTAGTCTGAAAATCAAACATTTGCCATAGATTTCAATAGAAATATTATTGTTACTTCAGTGCTTATGTGATCAAGCTGTACAAAACTAGAGCTATGCTGACATGGAAGTTGCATTTGCCCATGATAAACTAATGTATTGCAATGGTAAGGGACCTGTATGATAAAAGCCAGTTATGCAAGACCTGACAAGACAAGGAAAATACATGTGTTCAGTGTTCAAAGTAAAAAGTCATGAGATTTCATGCTCCTGCATGCACAGTATAATTTATTTGGGTTGGCTTGTTCTTACAGGTTTCCTGACATGCTCCCACTCACTTTTGAAGCTTTCCCTGTCACATTTAATTACATGAAGAATGAGTGTACACATCATAGCTCAAATTTGTTATAGCCTTGTTATAAATAGCTTCGTTTTATATGTATAAAACTTCAAATATGTATTAGCTGCATTTATTTGCTTTTAAAAACAACTTAAAACAGTGCTTTGCTTTTAGCATAAGCAGCATGTTTAGAATCCAGTTTGTAGATCTTCTCATTTGATTATTACTTGCACAGTGTGAAAGACATCCTATGATCAATAGCTGTGTAGCATCGTTTAGATATTCTTCGTGGTCTCTGTGCAGGCCACACACCATGGGTGGGAACTTCTTTTAAGAGGTGCCTGCACTGTGTGTGGATGGCCACGGCTGTTGCTTGTGCTGCTTGGGGGAGGAACACAGACCCGGCTCCTGTCAACATTGCTTGAGATTCACTAGTCAGACAAGGAAGAATAGGGTGGCTCGCCTAAAAGTGTTTTTATTAAAGCAGTCCTTAGCCCCAACAATGGCCAAGACAGCAGGAAAGGGGCAATAGCCGCCTCCCCCGTTGTTAGAGAGAGGAGATTTGGCACACCATGCTGCAGCCATTATCGGGCAGCAAAAGGAGAAAGCGGACAAATCGCTTAAATGACCGTCTTGCTCTGGCAAAAAGCCCTCAAAATCAAAGGTGCCTAAGTTGTCGGAGAACACTAAGCCTAACATGGCTCGGAGGGCCACCGATGAACGCTGCCAGGCACAGTTAATGGTCACTCCAATTGTGTTGGCTGGTTTGTCCTCAAATTCACCAACGATGAAGCGCAAGGAATCGTGTTCGGACGTGTCCACTTCGCAGGCGAGCACTCAAGTGCCTATGCTGGTGTAACCGAAGCACACATCGCTTGTGCGCTCTGTGCCGCCTCTAGAGATTCTGGCAGAGGTTGGGTCAATGCCCAGATGCCTAATGCCGGGGGGTTATCGGTTCTACGGCACCCGTTCCAGTAGTCAGTCTCCTGCCTCCTCCTGCTATGCTCTTAGCGAAGAGGAGAGGTACAATTATGAGAGGGCAAGCTGGAGCCCAGATCAGCTTGCACCGCCCTCCCGGGCCCGGCACAGAGATACCCTGAGGGACCGGGCCACGCCCTCATCACTTTAGGGGGATATTTGCTGCACATTGCAGGTACCTCTTAAAAGAAGTTCCCACCCATGGTGTGTGGCTGCACAGATGACCACTCGAAGATCATCAGTTACAGGTAAGCAACCTGTTTTTCTTGCTAGTTACATAGACATAATCCAAGCTGTATGTATTTTGTTGTTTGAGGCTCCTCTACCCCAAGATGGTGTCTTCCTTCCTTCCACTGTCCCACCACTGCCTGCCACTGTCCCACCACCAAAGAGGGCAGCTGGCCCATCAGCCTCAGAATTGGGAAAGAGAAAGGGTTTCAGTACTGGGTCCTCTTTCTTCCCCATACTGGCTCTCCATGAGCACATACGTGATCTCATTCTCTCACCGCCCCCTGTTCTGACCTCAGTCAGTTGCTTCCTCCTTGACCAAGTGTGGTGCCTTCCCTTTCATGGGGTTTCTGGGCCCCACCACACCTGGACTGTCTCTAGTCCCCTTCTACTCGCTCCACCTCGGAGACTATAAAAGGAAAGGTAAGCCTTTCCTGCCTCTTCCACCTGCTGCTTGTGTCCCTGCCCTGTTCCTTCCTCTTGCTGTTCAGGGCACCCTCTCAGGGTGCAGTCACACGGTCCTTTTGATAGGGGTTTGCCGCTGTTCCCTCTCACATTTAAGTTTGCTGATCAGACAGGTGAATCTGCCTCCCGCGCCGAAGCGGGCTCACTCCCGTAATGCTCCCGGGTTTTCCTGCCCCCGGGAAAATCACCATCTTGCTTTTAAAATTTTTAACATCGGAACCGGAATAGAGGAGCACCAAAAATGTTTTATGATGTTATTAACTATGTATTGATTGTTATGTAATTTAATATTTTATACTGTTTTATGGTTTTATTTGGCATTATGCCCTGTTAGCCGCCCTGAGCCTTCAGGGAGGGCGGGATAAAAATCGAAATAATAAATAAATAAAATAAATAAAGTATTTTCCTGGCACTTTAACTTGGAATGTGCGATTTTGCTCATCTGGACAGCCATCTTTTGCAATGATTGCGATTAGGGCCGTCTGACCGCTCTTTGGGTTTGTTTGTTTGTTTGTTTTTAAAAAAGCTTCCGGTTTGAGCACTTGGGCAAACATGCGTTTAGTAAATCCATTATTAAACATTTTTATTTTCATTTATCTGTTTAAAGATAACAGCGGCCGCCCAAGCGTGCCCCGTGGCTGGCAGGATCACCTGGAGGGACTCGGTGCGGTGGAGGCGCCACTGCAGCCCTGATGAGCTAAGCTGAGTGCAGCAGCCCTCTCGGACGTTCTTCCTTTTCCTGCCCTTTCAGGGCCGGTCGGGCAGGCGGCTTGCTGGAGCTGTCATATTATCTTTAAACAGAGAAATGAACTTAAAATGACATTTAATAATGGATTTATTAAGCTCATGCTTGCTCAAGCGCTCAAAGTGGAAGCTTTTTTTTTTTTAATGAGTAATGCACAGTGATTTTCCTTAGGAGCTGGCAGGCGAGCGGGTGAACATAAGAACATAAGAGACGCCAATGTTGGATCAGGCCAAAGGCCCATCCAGTCCAACACTCTGTGTCACACAGTGGCCAGAAATACCAGTGCCATCAGGAGGTCCAGCAGTGGGGCCAGGACATTAGAAGCCCTCCCACTGTTGACCCCCCCAAGCACCAAGAAGACAGAGCATCACTTGCCCCAGAGCCCCTAGCTATACCTTGTGGCTAATAGCCACTGATGGACCTCTGCTCCATATGCTTATCTAATTCCCTTTTGAAGCCATCCATGCTTGTAGCACCCACCACTTCCTGTGGCAGTGAATTCCAAGTGTTAATCACTCTTTGGGTGAAGAAGTACTTCCTTTTATCCGTTCTAACCCGACCGCTCTGCAGTTTCATGGAGTGCCCACGAGTTCTTGTATTGTGAGAAAGGGAGAAAAGTACCTCTTTCTTTACCTGCTCTTTCCCATGCATAATCTTATAAACCTCGATCATGTCACCCCTCAGTCGTCTTTTCTCCAAGCTAAAGAGCCCTAAGCGCTTTAACCTTTCCTCATAGGGAAAGTGT